ATGGTATTTTGTTTTGAATTTCGCGCCAAGCTACACGAGGGCTATCTGCGCTAGCCGTCCCTAATTTTGCAGTGAAAGTGTAGAGGGAAGGCAGCTAGTCATCATCACCCACCGCCAACTCTTGGGCTCTCTTTTAAAAACGAATAAGTGGGATTAATCATCACATTGTAACGCTCCCACGGCTGAAAGGGCGAGCATGTTTGGTGGGACAAGGATTCGAAACAGTGACTTTCAGATTGCGAGCCGAGCGCCCTAACCACCTGGTCACGACGGACCAGTCGTTCTATGAGTCGCTGCTAAAAACGGACACTCGTTCGCAACACCTATGTTCACCTTATATTGAATCCAAATATTAGTATATACATTTTTTCAGGCACTTTGCAAAGTTGCTTTCATTAATATTTCAATAATGATAAGGTTTAGGCAAAATCTTCCGAATATCTGCATGGATCAACGTTTGAAAGATAATGTTACCTTCCATCGCTATTACACATTTGAGATAATCTACTCTAAATCTGAATAAGTGATATGTCATGAGTTCATATATATTAACATGTAACTTCTGCAGGTAAGAAATAGGTGATATATCTATATATATAGTAGATGTGTGCATAACTTGTCGGTTAAAACAATGTAGAATTGTATATATATTGTATATATATATATAGTAGATAGGTACATAGCATGTTGGTTAAAACAATGTAGAATTGGAGGTATTGTATATATTCGTAGTTTAAAACAATTTAAGGTTGATAAGTAGTAGAAAACACATTCGTAAGTTTCATTGATCTTTATATGCTTTTTATTTATAACACGGATTAAATCATACATATCTTGACACGTAATTTTACTGGCAATATATTGCGTTTTCCTGCCACTGTTGTGAAAGTTTTTAATCTTCCTCGTGACGCTGCCCTATAGCTATTAACCTGTTATCCCAAAAGCTTTATTCTTCTTCCCGATATGTCCCGCGGTGGGATAGCTGTAAATTTACAAAGTTAAAATCCAGGGATCGATTCCCCGTGGTGGACAGGGTGCTGATAGTCCATTGTGCAACTTTGCGCTAAAACAAACTTTTTTTCTTCATATAACATACTTTTACGATGGGCCTTAATAACTTTTAATAAGCTGTTTCTGTTTCGTGTTGCCATTAAAACTACGAGAATGTCATTCAATTTTAGCGATAAGAATTATGTATGTATATATATGTTTGTGTGTATGTGTGTTGTTATAGCAAAGCCACAATAGGCTATCTGCTGTGTCCACCGAGGGGAATCGAACCTCTGATTTTAGCGTTGTAAATCCGAAGACTTACCCCTGTTTTACCGAGGGACATATATATATACATATATGTTACTCGACAAAGTTTTGGCTACAATAATTCATTTATCATAAACGAGTAACAGTTTTTCGGGGTGGCTTGGTTGCCCAGTAATCTAACAAAAGACTGCCACTTAGTGGTTTTTAAGTCTTTTTCTGTCTGAGAATGTTCCCCCGGTGGATCAGCGGTAAGTTTATCTACTTACAAGGCTATAATCCTGGACTCAATGCCCCACGGTGGACACAGCAGATAATCCAATGTGGCTTTGCTCTAAAACAACAAGCAAGTTGTCTGAGAATTATTTTCGTTTTACATGCAGCATTTCTCCCTTCATTACGAAACTTTGTGCAGTACACCCTATGAGAAAAACAACGAAATACCAGTTCAGAGCATATATGTCACTACTCTGAATATTAGAGTGGGTACGTCATGTTCTGAAAGATTAAAGTTGTGTCACAACTTTATAATAGTTAATTCAAGTAATCACTAGGTTATATAGACATTTTTTCTCTACAAATCAGACAACAGCACTCAAACAATTAAGAATGACATATATAAATTTTGTTTGTCATGTGCTATTTGATGTCTTGGTAACACGATAATCATTATCCAACACAGTTGTGCACGCCATTACTAATGAATTTTCAATAATTCAGATCAATAGAATTATTATAAATAAAATAAGTTCGTATACTGGCATAACATAGCTTTTAAAACCCAAAACTATGATGGTTTTAACTCTACGGTTTCCCCGGTGAGATAGCAATAAATATATGGATTTACAATGCTAAAATCTGGAGTGCGATTCCCCGCGCTGGACTCGGCAGATATCCCAATGTGGTTTTGCTCTACAAGAAACAAACTTACTCTACGCATTTGTCAATCCAAACTAGTATTGAGACGTATAAGTTATCGTATTTCTAGTTTTGAGGAACTCACCAGTTGCATTAATGCTCGAATACACCGTTAGAAAACTACTTTATTTTTTTAGCATTGTTTACATTATTTGAACAGTATTAAGTGTTTGTTTTGGTTTTGTTTTAAATGCGTACAACGTGTATGTATGAATAAAAGGGAAATAAAAGTACTGAAAGTTTTATTATTGGAAATGGCTATCTGTTTTGCAATAGATTATATATTTTTTTCTATGTGCAAATAAATAAAAGGGAAACACTGAAAATTCGTTTATTAAAATAGTTTCTCCAAACGAGTACATTTTTATAAGTGCGAATAAAATGGAAGCAGCTGAGAGTTAAGATTTCGTTTATTCAAAATGGTTAACTCAGCTAACATAGTTCTTACATCACTAAATAGTACAGTTTATAAGCATAAAGATTAATTAATGGATAACGATACATAACTTTTTTTCAGTAAAATCAAAATGAAAATTAACTTTCAGATATATTCAGATTTTTCTTACAATTGTTATTTTCTTAATAGTACATTGTTGGCATCTTGAAAACTTCATTCTGACTGTTGACACCGACGACAATGTTATTACCGGCATCAATCTGTTTTAAGTTTTTTCCTAGTGTCTTCCAATCTCCATAACAAGGTTCTTCACAGAAAAAGGCGTTACCTCGTTTGTCGATGCCGAATACCGCACCTCTACCGCTACTGGTAACATATTTCAATTTTCCAGCGACGTGCTTCCAGTGCTCGTTGTAGTTTAACTCTTTAAAGTAGACGTCGTTTTTGCAATCAACGCCGTAAACTCTAAACGTTCCGACATCAAGTTGTCGTAAATTCCAATCATCGTTCTTCCATTGTCCGTTGCATGGTTTGCGACACGTATAGACGCCGTCATCAGGGTCGATGGCCCAGATATCACCAACACCGGAAACGCTCACGAATTTCATCTTTCCGTTGATATTTGTCCAATTGCTATTCAACCTAGTTTCTAACATGTAGATGTCGTTAGAATCATCAACACCCCAGACCTCGTAATCATCGGCGTCTATTTGTTTCAAATTAAAGTTATGTGGAATCCAGGGGTCAGTACTTTTGCACGGACGATTGCATTTCAAGACTTCATCTTGTTCGTTGATACCCCACAGGTAATACGTGGTAACGGAAACGAACTTTAGTTTTAAATTCGGAAATATCTCCCATGTTCTGGTTAGAACGAACGTTGAAGAAGGCTTTAATATCAACGCCAGGAACAGGATAACAGCAACTCGCAACATAATGATATCTTAATCTGCATTGGTCAAACCACACTTTATATAATCAGCATGTTGAAAAGAAGAAAGAAAGAAGAAAAAAAACTCCTGGTATTTGCACGTGACTTCTATTAATCACGTGTTACATCATGACAAAGTAACGCTCGTAAAATTTCTCGAAACGTTACATAACACCAGGAAGGTGCTTCTAGAAACAAGTATTATCATTTTTTTACTGATGCCACTTTATTGTTGCGACTACAAGTCTGGTTTCAGTTTTAGTAAATATAGTTCAAACACAATATCCCACATTTTAATACAGGCAACGAATTATCGGGCTTGATTAAGTTGTAGTTTACAGATTAATAAAGCAATCAAAGGTTTGTAATTCTATAAGAAGGAAACTCGTACACAAGACATTTATACCACAAGACTAGAACGAACATTGAAAGAAAGAATATCTGGTAAAGTAAGTCGCGGAGAACAAAGTTATACAAGAATCTGTCGAATATTTCAGCACTTTCATTAATTATGAGTTGCCCCTTATTCTAATAATTCATGAAAGTTTGAGGTTAACGTAACAAGAAGAGAAAAATTTATGAAGGAACCGTTTCAAAAATGAAGTTCTTAAGAGTTTTACCATAAAACATTTGCGGACTTATGATTTGTTACCTGCAGAAGTTAGATGATAATATACATGAACTCATTATATATCAACTAATTGTTACCTGCAGAAGCTAGATGTTAATATACATGAACTCACGATATATCAACTAAAAGTTACATGCAGAAGTTAGATGTTTATATATATGAACTCACTAATATATATATATATATATATATACAATTCTACATTGTTTTAACCGACAAGTTATGCACACATCTACTAGAGATACAGTATATATTTAACTCTACTTTGTTTTATGCACACTTATACAAGTATTCGCAGTATTGAGACTTGCATTGTTTTAACATATAAATTATGCACTAATCTGCTATATTCACAATAATCTATTCAGCGAGAAAGTTCTTTAGATTATAAACATTTACAAGTCTACTGGGTATACAATGTATTCTGGCCCTCATTACTTTGATTTATACATTTATTCACTTCAACCAGGCTTCCAAAGCCTTGATTTGTATCATTATTTAAGATTAAGTTTTAAATAAAAGATTAAACTGCTGGTTCTTTCAATTAATGTTTTCGTAACGTTGTTCTTTTTTGAAGAAGTGATAAAATATCGCGTGAGAAGCAAAATTAACCTAATTTTAGTTCGCCAACCAGAAGACGTCTGTGACCAGGCAGAAAACCTTTAAGAAAAAAGAAAAAAAAAGCTAAAATTTGCCAGGAAAAAGGATGCCATTGCTTAACTCATATATATATGAACGTAATTTGAGGTATATTTAACGTAATATATGCTTGTATGATGCCAGGTGTGACACCTGATGAAAAATAGACTGTTTATCTATTGCACAAGGGACCATTTACGCAATGGTACGTTCAAAATCCAATAGGACAAAATCCGATTCGCACTTGAGCCATAGCATGTAGGTCACCATCTAAACATACAATAACTGTTATGCCTTGAACGATTGTTTGTTTGAATATATGCACAAAGCTACACAATGGGCTATCTGTGCTCTGCCCACCACGGGTATCGAAACCCGGTTTCTAGCGTTGTAAGACATACCGCTGTGCTACTGGGGGGGGGGGGCGCCTTGAACGATTTAATAAGCTGACTTCTATTTGTCGAATATATATATATATACAAAAAATGATTATACTAAGAAGTCACACGTAAGACGCTAAGAACAGATAAATCACACAGTGATTTCGTTATATAGAACCTCTTCTACAAGGGTGATTTGGAAACGAGTATGTTTATTTTCGCCTTAATTTGTCATACTCTTATTGTTTCTTTATTTCAAGGTTGTTGTTTTTTTTTTCTTTTAACAATTTTTGTTACCGGATCATTTGTGAATTTTTTTTCCCCATTAAATTATATATTTCGTTTTTCCTCCCTCTTCCCATCTTCTAATTATAATATTTCAGTAACACCTGCAACATTAGTAACACCTGCAACATTCCTATTCAAATACAACCTAGACGCCAATGACGTCACAAAAGATCACCTCGCTAGCTTCCACGCAAACCTGGAGAAATGAAGTTTACACGACAATACAGAGCATTAAACACCATTTCGAGGGAAACCGTAACATTGTAATAGTAGGTAAGTG